GATGATTTTCAACATCCCCCTGTCATAACCAACATAAAAGGAAAAGAGAACGTCGTCGAATGTTCCTCTCCTGTTAAGAAAAAATAAAAATAATTTGTCCCTGTTAGTCCAAAGAAGTCTTCACCAAAGGCAATTAAACTATCGCCAAGAAGATCAATGTCGCGTCAAGCCACACAACCACAATCATCCAAGATTAACACTGTTGAGAAACATAGTGATACTGGTACGTCACACACCAACAAACGTGTGGAGTAGAAAAGTGTACAAGACACAACGGAAATGGCCCAAAGAAAGAAGTCATCAGGCATCACCCTTTCGCATGATGAATTTGAAGCATTCAAAAATCGGTAATAATTCATTTTACAAATGTAAATTAGTTACAGATATTATATTCAATTATTAATTAAAACGTATTTTATTCATATAGGTAAAGGATGATTTTGCTGATTTGAGGAAAATTGTTGAAGACAACTTCAAAATTGTGTTGAAAGCCATCAATTCCAATAAATCAGATATATAAATTTTCAATTTTAATTATTTCTATATAACATAATATATAATAAATTCTAATTAATAAAGTTGTATAATTATTTTTCAGGTAAATGTCGTTGATGATCCTCAAGAATCGCCCACCGGAGATTTTCATCACCCATCCACATACTCTCCACCATCAGATGTTGGTGTTCAGCCACCAAGTCAATCAAGAAAATTGAAAGATCAAAAGGTAATATTTGTATATACTTATACATCTCTATTTTGATAAGTTATTGTATATTAATTCATTTATACACATATTGAAATGAAATTACTTGTATATACGTAAATCCAAATTCAATTATCTATAGATATAAGCTATAGATTTTTTAGTTATTTCTATATATACTAATTTAGATCACATTCCTATATATGTATACAAACATCTCACTTATTTGTATATAGAATAGTTTAGAATATATTCTGGTATAATGTATACATTTTTAGGCTACTGTTGTTGATGTCATGCAAGAAACGCATACCACGCGTTTTCATCAGTCACATACTCTCCACAAATAGGTGCTCGAATTCAGCCAATAGGTCATTCAAGTGAATTGAAAGATCACAAGGTAATTTTTATAAATTCCAATGTGTATTGATCATAAAAAACACTAAATGCTCAAAGTAATCCTAATCAGCAGCTGCGTATACATTCCATATTTTTTTTCATATTTATATACATTTTAAAATTTAGTAAGTTTTGTATATAAATAATTTTTTGGATATCTAAGTGGTCCTTTACCGTTAAGCAGGGAGATAAATTGAAAGATCCAAACCAGGATACTTCCCTCTTGGATCAAGACATGTTGGATGCTAATGTGGAAGATCAACGTGATAATGCCCTATTTGATCAAGTAATGTTGGACGCTACTGTGGAAGTTCAGCACAATGCTCGAAAGGAACATGAAATACGTTAAAATATCCACGTACATTTTAATGACAAATACACTGCTCGATCTGATGAGCTCATTGAAGATGCAAGAGAGGCCCCATTAGCTACAGCGCCTATACAAATGATATATATGCCTAATTCAAATCTGGACAAAGTTATAATTGAGACACATGTTGAATTGTTAGACCATCTTTTTCCAAGTATGAACACACTGCAAAATCTTGTATTACAAAAAACAAGTTGTAGCTGAAGAAACACCACTACCAGCTGTTAGGACTAGACGCCCAGGTCCATTCAATACATCTCCATACATGACTTCATTCGGATCGGATGCTGGTATGCATCAGTTATTTATGGTATATTTATATTTTCTTTATTAACCATACTGTATGCAGTCTGTAGATATTTATGTTCTGTACTTTTCAGGTAGTTCATCACAACATCCAGTAATTTTTTATCTGAAACATCCATTTGTTTCACTGTCTAATGAGGAAGAGGCTGATTTGTTTAGAAAATTTTGGAAATGGCTGAAAAAAGACTTACTCGTCAAGCATTACAAAAAGTAAACCATTTATTTACATTATATACAATTCTCTTTTAATTCATTCGTTAAAGATGTCTAGTTAATTTTGAATTGTTTATTGTAGGAACTACGGTGAGGATCACTACAAGAAAGGGGAGACAACATTACCAAACTTGATTAATTTTGGTGTTGTTACAATTGACGATAAGAATTGGCTCTACAATATTGAGTTTGAGCGCCAGTTGATTGATAACTCGGTATGTCTCTTATTTTATTTCTTAAAAGTGTATAAATAATATCAAATTGTATAATGTAGAACTTATACAATTATTACTTATTTTATCACAACACATAGATGTCATATTCTACTACATAAGGAAAAAGGTCAAATACTCCAACAGTAGCACATACAAATTCACAAATCTATGTTGCAATTTCAACACTGTGATACAAAATGCCTGGAATGCATATTATGAAACTGAAAGTGATTCATCTAAGGAAGTATTAGACGAGATGATTATTGATTACATCAATGTTTACAAGATGCACGCTTCTGCACCATGGCACATAGTTGATGATGTATTCATCCCAGCGTGGAGGGGAGGTTACATTGGATTCTGATTGTTATATCTTTCAATGAACGATCGTTGTATAAAGGTGTACGATTCAATCAAGAATTCACTCCACCATTCATATGTTGTTAATCACATCAAGAAGCATGCACAGCTTATCCCGATGTATCTTGTTAAGTGCGATTTTTATCAGGATAAAGATTTGAATATTTCAACTCACCCGCGATACCAAGGTCATACTCTATATGATTTCTTTGACATTGTATATGTCGAAGACATACCCCAACAACCAGATGATAGTTTGTAAGTTCATATTTCATTAAATTTAGTTCCACTTTATGTATTGTAATAACATTTGACGATTTTTTGTTTATTATTTCATAGGGATTGTGGAGTATATGTTGCAGCATACGCGGAATTTCTCAATGATGGGAAAGACATTCCAACAGATTTAGACCCAGAAGAAGTTCGTATCAGATACGCTTCATTGTTGTGGAATTACAACATTCAAAAGTTGCAAGTTGGAGCTGTCAGTGATAATGAAGCGCCTTTGAAGCCAATCAGGAATCGCACAGAAAACAACAGTACCGAAAGATTACAATGCAGTAGCTTTTTACCATATTCGTAACATGCTTTTTGTTAAGTGAACAGATTCAATTTTTGACTTAAGTTAACAATTTTATGTTACATTTTGTTTTAACTAACTCATAATATGATTCTGTTTTCTGAACGATCATTTTGATGCTATATAAATTATATTACACTATCTTTTTCTTTTTAAGTGTATATATACATTCACATTACATACATAAATATACAAACAAATTTAATATTTTTTCACTAAAACAGTTTGTTAGAACAATGAATTTAGACAGTGTTAAAACAACACATTCGTATATTATAAAATTTAGACCTCTTTGTTATTATAATAATGGAATATTACGTATATAGTTATTTGTATATCGAGTTATTATATACAAAACTGCTCGAAGTATTTGTATATCTATATATTCAAGAGATATAATCATATTGTTATTTATACATATACTACTAGTTATATATGTATATAAGTAATTACTTAAACAAATTGGTACAATTATTTGTATTTATACATATTCAAATTATTTGTATAATAGTTTGTTTTAAATCACTTTTTTTTTCATCTTAAGTTTATATATACAAACCTGCTTGAGGTATTTGTATAACCAAGTTATATATTGGTTCCTATTACTCATTATACATATACAGTTACCTATATATGTATACAATAATTATTTTAAATATTTTGGTACAATAAACTAACAATATATATTCATTTTAATTATTTTTGTATATAAACTTTGTGTACATTAAAGAGTTTAGTATAGGACACACATACATTTTGTATGTAATAGTTGTAAAATTAACAAAAAATTACTTATTAATCACATGATTCAATAGAGGAAATTCATCGAAGTATACCAAACCGAATATAGAAAGATAATATGCAATTTAAGTCATAAATCAACAGATTTAAGCACGTCAAAATAGTTTGTATAAAACTAAAATGTATTCGCATAGGTTCTCCAATTCCATTGCATAAAAAAAAAGTTATTAAACCCTAAGCATCTTGTGGCTTATTCCTACATGAACACCTATTGTGACCTGCCATTCCACAAGTGTTGCATGTATTTTTCCCCTTAGTCCTCAATAACTCTCTTGCTGTTTTTTTTTACGAGGCTTATTCTTTGGCCTGTCAGGAGGTCTTTTAAATTTCGGAGGTAATACTTCATCAGCATGTATGTTTTCTGGAATCACCCATTCAGTTACATCCAGTAAAGGATGTATAGGCATATTATAGGTCTTCAACATAGTTTTTGATTTGTATAAATCAAAGCAATAGTCATATGGTGGTAGACTTTTCCACTTCAATACAGCCCAAGCATGTTCACAAGGTATTTCCTCATATTGAAATCTCCCACAGGTGCAAGTTTTTTTACCTAAGACAGACTACATAATATCTTCCATCATCATTAACATTGTGCACATATTCAGTCGACGGTACAACCTGCTCATATATACAAAGAAAATAAAAAATAATCAATATATACTAATATGTAATATATACAATAAATTATTTATACATTACTAATTATACAATTATTCATAAATATTACCATTATTCTTGGGCTCATTGCTTTATTGTCTGTTAGTATTTCAGGATATTTTCCTATCAATGGTGTAAATGTGCATGTTGTCTCCTTCGTAGTCATGATTCCATCTTCCAAACATTAGCCTCACCTCTTCTAGAAATTCAAAGATAGGCAATTCCCTCGCTGAAACAAGTGCAACATTTATACTCTCAGGAATATTCGATGTCATGTGCCACCTTCTATGGACTTGTGCATAACACCGAGCCCACTTATCATATCCAGCTAACTCCAAATATTCTTTAACTCTTATATCTACCTTCTCTATTGTATCCATTAGCATATCAAAATCATTTTGCGTGCAAGCCTTTGCCATTGTATAGAATACACCAGTTAACTTCTCATGAGATTTTCTAAACTTTTTCTGAACATTATTCCATAAGTGCCACATACAAGCGTAATGTGGTACATTATCATATACTTTTGTAACACTCTTAATAATGCTCTCATTTTTATCTGACACAACACACATATTACTCCTCTCGCCATATGCTTCTTTAAGCTGCTCAAAAAATCATGTCCAAGCAGCAGCATTCTCTGAATCAATAATACCATATGCCAGTGGAAATATATGTCCTACAATTATACCAATATACAATTTATTTTTCATAACAAATATGTATACTAAACCGTACATATACAAACATTCACGTATATACATATACATCAATTTATGTATATACATGTGTCATCTATCGTGCTTGCTGCCACAAATGTCCCATTATATGATTCTCTCAGGTGACTACCATCCACCACAACTACTGCTCTACAATGCATAAATCTCTGTATAAATATATTCAATGCAACAAATAAATACAAGAACTCATTATTAATACTCTTTTTCATACATATATGAGATCCCGGGGAAGTAATATCCATCATATACAAATAAGCAGGTAATTTTGCATACGATCCAGCTAGTGTACCCCTCAAAGATTTCAAAGCTTTCTCTTTGGCCCTCCAAGCCAACATATAGTTAACATCAACTCCAAGATCAATCTTAACATCCTTTTTAATGTCATATGGTGTATATTTACGCTTGTGATCTACCAATTTAGGTTTCACAATCCCTCCAATCAAATTGCTAGTTGCCTGTCTTTGTGAATAAACTATATCTTTTAAAGGACATGTATGCTCTGTGTTGACTGCTCGAATTCTTAACATTCCAGATTTGTTGATATTTGATGCCTTCATTAACCATTCACATCCCTCAGAATAACATTCCAGTGTATAACTACATGATAGTTTCATCACATTTAATCAATATATATAATATTCAAATTTATTTTATATTATACAAAAAAGTAATTCATACATTTTAACATTAAAATATTTCATACATAAAATAAATTCTGAACAAATTTATTTTATATTATACAATAAAATAATTCATACATTTTAAAAGACGGTATTTGAAATGCATTACCTGATTGAATTTGATATAGCAGTTCTGTACTGAAACCTCTTTGCAATCATATATTTTTCCATAACTGCTTTCAAAATTGATGTGTCCTTATATACTTGATCAACTTCAACATGTTTGTTAGATGCATCTGAAATCACTCCAGCTGTATCCATCGATACAAATGCAACATTTGGTTCTTCCAATTCAGCAACAATCACACTCTGTGAACCATTTTCTGCAACTGTTGCCAACACCCCCATCTCTCCATTTGATGAACTTTGACACAGATTATTTTGTCTATTACAGAAATCAAAAATAGTTATACAAATTGGAAATTTGTTAAAATTAGTGTTAGCCATTTTAAGCATTACGTACACCCTAACACCCATGTCATTGGGTATAACCATTGGTTTATTGCTTTCTTCAACCTTATACTCAATCTTCAATATCTTCTTATTCACATCAACACCAATCTGTGTCGCAATTGTTGTATAAAACTCAAGAAACGTTGCTTGTTCCTTAAACACTATACCTTCTATAGTATAATCAACGTAACAATTTATATCATCCCATTTTCCAGAATGCATAACCAAAATAGCCAATGAAGACATTTTCTATAGAATTTACAAACAGTTTAATCACTTCACATATGCTCATATACATAAATAATACATATACAAAATTAAGGATGTACATGATACAATATACAAACCTTACGCAAACATATATACAAAGATATTACAACAACAATTAATAAATTACAACACACTTTTTTGTCAAATCATGCATGAATATCATATATAGAATTGACATATGAATTTTATACAATCAGTTTAATCATTAATAACAAAAATAAATTACACTCATGTACATATGCTCATATACAAATATATTACAGATACAAAACTAAAAAAAATTACTCAATTTCATAAATGTATATAATTGTCTCATACGACTTTGTATATACTACATTAATATACATCACAACATATACATAACTTCAGTAATTTGATTTGAAAAATGATTGTAGGCCTTATTTGACCCGTTAGAGCCTTTCAAAGCCTACCAAATGACATTAATCCTTAGTATGTCCACACTTTGAGCCTTAAGCCTTTTCTTTGGACAATCACATTTTAGCCTATACCCTTTATAAGTGCTTATACGCACTATCCCTGTCCTGCCCTTACTTTTTTGAGCACAGTAAAACGTGCAAGTAAAAAAAGAAGATTCAAAGGTTAAATTTGTCAAAAGACAAAAGCAATCAAAGTCCATGGAAGTAAAGAATACTAAAATGACTTCAAAATAAAGAAGAAAGAGTTGAAAATTCACCACAAGTTTAAGCAAGAAAAATTTTAACAAAAGAAGAAGAACACTCTAAACAATCAGAAGAAACTTCAAAAGATGATGAGAAGGAGAAGAGCATAGACAAGCAAAGCTTCAAAAGAAGTCAAAAAGTACAAAACGAAGGGACAACAAAAAGGATCAAACGCTAAAAGTCTAGCAAACGTTGAATGCACAAATTTAGTGCAATGCTCAGGAACGAATTAAGTCACTTTTCACCCAAATGACTACCCTACCCATCCCTAAGCCTACATTACAAGCCATTAATAAGCCTTACATGATTTCATTTTAAATATTCTTATATTAGTGAAGATTTACATGAAGGCCAAGCCTATGGTATCACAATTACATGCGTGTAATATTTTTCTAAGTGTGAGTAATTTTTATCAAATGTCCTCAAATCAAAACACATTAAATGTGTGCAAATTGAGACTTTCTTTGTGGTGAGGGCACTTGAAACATGATGTTAGGTATAGTTCAAAACCTTTTGTTTGTAGCAAGACGAACAAATCTTGTTGTTACTTAAGTGCATTTCAGGTACCAATTTGTAACAACCAGAACCATCAATATTTAGGAGAAACAAAAATCCAGTAAAATCTGGGCCATTGTCCCGCCACAGTGGGCCAGATGCATCTAGGGCGGCGACGCCAGGATGGGGTAAGTGGGCGCCAGAGCAGGATAGGCGAGGCAGAACGTAAATTATGAGAAATTCTATTTTTTCCATCTTCCAAAAATTCCTAAACAAGTCGTAAAACACCCTAGAAACATCAAAAAAGCTGATCTAAGCTTGGGAAGGAAGGAGAAGAAGATTTCAAGCATGAGGATGGTGATATCTTGCGAATTCTTGGCCAAATTCACCGTCATGAAGCTCGGAAAACCAAAATCAAAGTCAAAAACTCCGTGCAACTACTTGGCGCCCAAGTAGGCTAGGTTTTATGAATTGAGTAGTTTAAATCTGTGCTCACTACGTAATATATGTGAATCGATGGTAGGATTTATGCATAGGCCTTCGTGCACTGAATGATTTATGATTTAAACCCTAGAAAGAAGCCTTAGATGATGAATTAGGGAAGAGTATGGTCGAATTAGGGTTTGCATGAGGTGTGTTGATGAATAATCCATTGTGAGGGTGGTGATCCCATGATTTAGTAATGTATGTTTTTCTTTCTTCATTGTGATACGTGTAGGTATATGAATGTTGCACTGTTGATCACACTTGTTGTAAATAAGGATGTATGAATGATGAATGCCATGAATCATGAATTGTTTTATATGATTATGAGGATATACTTGTGATTGTGATTATGGTATGTTGAATAGATCGGTCACCACATTCCGGCATAACTAACTTGGATCGGTTGCCACGTTTCGGCATAACTAACTTGGATCGGTTGCCATGTTCCAGCATAACTATGGATTGGTTTCCATGTTTCGGCATAATTATTGGGCTGGGTACCAAGTTCTGATATGCTAACTTCTTGGGTTTGGGTTCCATGAAAGGACCAATGATTTGCTTAATTGTGAAGGTCGAGGAATGTGAAATTGGTTGTTATTCCTCATGTTGATGATATTGTATATGTTCCATATATGCATGTGATTATATTGTTGTATTGTCTTATATATGTTACACTTAGAGGTATAGGTTATGAAAGTTTATATTGATGGCTCTTTGTGATGAGTGATCCTGTTGGGTATAGTGGAAAGGTAGAGTGTTCAAGGGGTAAGTAATGGATAGCAAGGGTTGTTCGTGTGTCGTAATGGTGATAAGTAGAGGTAGCGTATGTGATGAAATATGCTTAGGTGGATTTCACCTTGGGGAAGGAGATTGGGTTTAGTGGTAAGGAAGTTGATGTAGTGTACCATGTGACCAAGATTGAGTTATGTCACGAGGAAGTAAAGGCACAATGTGAGTGGTTAGTTGGAATGTTGGTAGGTGCAATTGGGGATGTGTTAATGTGTTAGAACAGTTAGGCTATGATCAAGAACCTGGTAAGTAGGTGGATCGAGAAGGTGGTTAGTAATCAGAGTACTGGTGTAACTTGGAGGTATTTTAAAAGAAGGAAGGGGTGGAGAAATGAGGGGTTTATTGCATAATTGTACTAGTTGTTCCCTTATATTATGCGGTGGGAGTCGGGTTGACCGATGATGCCTACCAGTACGTGTGTTTGTACTGATACTACTCTTACTATGTCTTTTGACATAGTCTGGATGCAGGTTGGTGATGTTTCATTAGGTGAAGACGAAGTACTTCTCCAGAAGCTTTTATTCTTCCTTCCACATGGTGGGAGTTGTGTCTTTTATTTATCTTGTCCAGTTGTACTCTTACTAAAAGTGTGTCTAAGGATATTATTTTTAAAATCATATTATTATATTTATCTCTATTTTCTTTAAATTTTTCGCATGTTTAACTATTGGGATATAAGGGTTCTCTTACTTAGGTGTTAGAGTGGGTGCTCGCACGGCCGATGGGTCGGGTCGTGAAAAAATGGTATCAGAGCCTAGGTTACCGGTCTCCAAGTACAAGAGCAAAATGTGGACTAGGCTCTTGCGGATTGGTGTGTTGACGTCCACATCTAATCCTCAGGAAGCTAGGAAGCATTCTAGGAAATTGTTCCACTCATTCTCTCTTTTCGTCCGAAGTGTCGCTTGTGGTATGAGTTGAGTCCAATTGGTATCTCCCGATTCCAATTAGTATCTCAACAAAGTAAACCGGACGTCGTGGTCACGACCGAAGGGCCACAATTAAAGCAAATTGGAAACTGAGAAGATTCCAATTGGTATCTGGCCTTAGGGGTTGTGTAAGGCTTAAATGACCTGTAATGGTCATCTATGGAATGAACTAACTAATTAATAATTTGGTCTTGTCTGTGAGTTGTAACTTGAAATATGTGAATGTGTGCTTCTTGTTTCCTAAATTAACTTGGAATGTGAAGGTGGTAATTTCTTGACTGTAACGATGTGGTTATGTGCACAATAAATGTGTGTGTTTAAACCTTGATATGTACAAAGTGTTGGCTGAGTTGTAGAAATTATTTAAGTGCAACTACTCGAGTATCGTGAAAACCGTTGAGGGAAGAAGTCATAACTAAGTTGGTGCGAGGGTTTAGGTAAATTACAGAGTGATTTGTGAGATGAAAATCTGGACGTGCGTCGCAACCAACAAATAATCGAGTGAATGTTTGGGTGCATCCTGGGGATGTGTGGGTGTAGCATTGAATTAATAAGAACTAGTTGGATATCCTGCCGTTAAGATTGACTCAGATTAGCTAATGATTTTCCTAGCTTAGAGCCTTACCTTAGATTGTTTGGTTAAGCTAGAAACCTAGGGAAAATTTTAGAAAAATGAAAAGAACTCAGAAATTATTAGCCTGGGTTCTGGTCCCGTCGGGGCCGCTGGGGCGGGATTATTCCTTCCATAGTGAGACCGCCAGAGCGGGATTTTCCTGCC